AATTGTTCATTTGTTTTCTTCTTATCTTTTCATGTCTGATGGTTTTTCTTACCAATTTTGTAACTACTTTATACATTAACATTATGTCATATGAGCATTATGATTTTTTTCTTAATTTGCTCTTTAAAAACAACTTTGTGATGTTTGGGGAAATAGGTTTGTAATTAATACAAACTCAAATAGATTTATGTTTTTCTTTATGTTTTCTTCTACTGATATTTTTGCCAATATTAGCTTAGTTTTATTGATACCTATTCCTTTATCAATAGCTTTACTTTTTACAACAAAATAACACAGTTTCATTGCACTGAAAATTAGAAAACACAGAAAGGTATTAAGGAGAAATTGATCATGCACATTTGCAATACTCAACTAATCATTGTTAATATGTTTCTACATAGATTTTAAGAAAGATTTCAAGATAGATAGATAATAGGTAGATAATAGGTATGTTGTTTAGAAGTCTGTTTTGATTAGATTTATATATAAACTGGATAGATGGGTTATCTGTGGATAGCAGGTTTAGAGATAATTTTTATTTCCTTTTAGTCTTTTGTAATTTTCTATGCAATAATTTATGTAATCAGAAATATAAAATTAAATAAAAGATGAGATATGTGAAAAAAATCTGTTTGCTTCACTTTCTGTGAGAAACAGGAAAGAATCGTCCCCAGTGTTTGCAAGAACTGTGTAAGTACTAACTCCGGTGTCTGCTGCCTTTGTAGGTCTGATTATATACTTCGTTGTTTGCACTGATTTTGATTATGTTGGCTTGGTCCTCATGTATTTTGTGATTCTATTTTGAACTCCATTTCATTAGAATTTTATCTGTGGGAGTTCTTTGAGATCGAGTTTACAGTGTACTCTGTCAGAAAGGATTTGAATTTGTTTGCAAAGGCTGACTGGGGTCACTACCAGTCTTAAACTTCTTTAAGCTAAAACTTTCAGTTTGTAATTTCTTAGGCTATACAGAGTACAAATTCCGGTCCCAAATATATATGCATGCAAGGCATTAGAAATTCTCAGAATGACAAGTCTTTACATTCCTCTTTCAATTCAGTGTTATGGTTGAGAGGTAAGCACTTCTACTTTTAATCTTTTGCTGGACATATATTATTTTCTCATTTTTCCCATTAAGGTATTGCCTTTCAGGGGTCTGGGTTTATTGATAGTATCAAATCTTACCTCCAGCTTTGGAGAGGCCCAAGCCAGGTATCTTATCCTACGTGCCCATGGTCCCTTAAAACTTAAGCACTGGTTTACAAATGGATGAAGACATACAATAGAATACTATTCAGGGCAGGACGGTGGCTTGAGCCTGTAATTCTAGCACTCTGGGAGGCTGAGGCTGGAGGATCGCTTGAGTGCAGGAGTTCAAGACCAGCCTGAGCAAAAGCGAGACCCTATTTCTACCAAAAATAGAAAAAAATGGCCAGGCATGGTGGTGCACACCTATAGTCCCAGCTACTCAGGAGGCTGAGGCAGGAGGATTGCCTGAGCCCAGGATTTTGAGGTTGCTGCGAGCTATGATCATAGAACTCTCTACCCAGCATGAGGGAGTAAGAATCTATCTCAAAAAAAAAAAGTACTATCCAGCCATAACAATTAAAAAAATGAAATCCTGTCATTTGCAGAAACATGGATGGAACTGGAGGACATTATGTTAAGTGAAATGAGCCAGGAACAGCAAGTTAAACA